CAGGGTTGGGATRGCTCTGTAGGGTGGAGGAAGCACTGAGGAAGTTCCCTTTGCTAACTGAAGGAGTAACTGATGGTACAGGCAGGACAGCAGGAGTTTGTGCACCTGAATTTATCACAGCACAGGCTCACACCTGTGGTCTCTGCCCCACTAACTCAACAATCTGCCTTATTTCTTGAGCTCCACGCTTCTGCTTTTGTGCAGTTTGTTGTACCTGAAACAGAGGCGTGGTTTGAAACCATTTAGAAAGAGAACAAAATCAGTAAGGGTTTCAGCAAACCCTTTTAATCTTTGTTAAAGTCTAACCCATGCTGTATTACCAGGGGGTGGTACACCTTCACCTATTGTCCCATGCAGAGAAACTCTTTTCCCCCCCAGTTTTTGTTTGTAAAGTTGTGCTGAGACCCAACACTGATAGACCAGGCAGTGCAAACTGGGCCCCCTCCCCTTTTGGAGTCTACCCCAAAATTGTAATCAGTGAAGCAACAAATATTAATTCTCTCCCTTCCCAGGCCTTTTCCTCTTTGTAAGAAGACTCAGCTTGGAAAGCTGTGATCAGCCTAATCAGTTTTCTATTACTGAGACTGGTGCTCATAGTACAATTTGTTAAATCAATTTATTATCCTTCCAGCCAACTTCAGTGATCAGAGCGTGAAAACATTGAAAGAAAATTAAAACTAGTGGAAGTGCAGCCTGTTTGGATAACAGCACATTTTGCTGTTTCAAAGGATTACTCATCTGCACCAAAACAGGGARAGAAGTTAATTTCAATGATTTAGAATCTTCTATTTCAAGGAGGCCTGGCTTGCACATTGTGATAGATTCAGGAAGAAGTATAATTCATTCTTAAATTGTTAAACAGCATGTTAGGGCCAAGTATCCAAGTRAAAATGAATGGATTCATTTGTAATCTTAAACAAGTCTGTGTGTGGGAGGGTGGGGATGGCAGGCTGGGGTAGCCTGTAAACAAATGCCAGATGCACCGTGGCTCTTCAGGTTYTGGTGTTGGAAAGTAGCCAAAATAACCTGCAGAGAAGAGAAATGGTCCTTTTCTGCCTAAAATAGAATTCTGCAGATCCTCCAGTCCTCTCTTTCTGTGCCCTTCAGCAGGAGGGGGAAGTTCCCTGGATTTTCAGAGTGCAGTGGCTCTCCCATCTTTATATCTGCAAGATTCTGAGTGAAAACTAAAGCCAAGGACCTCAGCAGGAGCCAGGATCCTGCAGGGCATTGGTGTCTCCAGTGGCATCTGAGTAACGTGGGAAGGTGTCTGGGAATGTTTCTGATTTCTGGGTTGGGTTGACGATGCACATATGGAGGGCACTGGAGCTGCAGATGTGCTGTRCAGTGTGAAATTCAGAAACCACAGCTGATGGTGTCACATGAACCATGAAATGTTGTACTGGACAGGAGAAGTGTTTCTCTCATAGTTCTTTCTCAGCAYATAAATCTCTATAATAGTTTCAAGTCATGGCTGATACTTCAAATTAGTTGTTTTTTTTTTTCTATGGCAAATACTGGTACTCCCTTCTCTCTCAAAATCTGCAGAGATATTACAGGGACTTTAGGCTGTTAAAAAAAAATCCTTGGAGTCTTCTGTCTTCCTCCAACTTCTGCATATGCTTGGTTTTGAATTTCTTAGGTGCCTCTTCAGGTGGCAGAGTGCAATGTTGGAATGAAAAGTTGACTGGATATGAGGAATTCCAATCTTGGAAAGTCCTTACCATGCTGYAAGAGGTCACCAGACTGGTGGCATCTGAGGGCTGCCCTGCTTGGATGAGGCCAGCAGGAAGAAGTCCAGTAAGAACCCACAGAAATTTAACCTAGGAGGGGAAAATGCCTTATTTTGGAAAGCTTTAGGACTTCTTCTGTAAAGCAGACTGCCTCTTGAAGCTTCTCTGCTCTCTTCACACAGTTTTATTTAYAGCTCAAAGTAAAGAAAGCAGTAGTTCTTGGCTGGTGCTGTTAATGTATACACTGTGCATCAAGTTTATTGCAAAGTCTGTTAGCAAACCACCAGCCTGGTTTTTAATCTGCAGATAATCTTACTCTCATTTGTATTTTGGGCTGTGTTACTTCTCCCAGCATAGGTGCAGCCATTGGAATCCATCCAGTTCACCTAACAACTTWCATTAAAGAAAATTGCCCTTGTAATAAAAATTACTCAGTGTGACAAGATTCCATAATATATTTTTTTAAAGCTTCATAAAATTTTGTAGCAGTTAATGCCGCTTGTTTGGGTTTTTTTTTTAATTTTCTTTTAAAAGCAAAATTTGGCTTAATTGGGACAATATTTGAAATAGAATGAAATARCTATTTTCTGTCTGGGTGCATAGAAGCCAGCCTGCATGGCAGGAATAGCACAGGGATCAGGAAATGAAAAATCTGTCTCTGCTGTCTCTGCAGAATATTTGCCTGGGAAAACTCCATGGCTCCTATTCCTGTTAYGCTATAAAAATGGGGAAATCTCAATTTTTAGCTGCTTGTTCATGAATAGATACGAATCACCCGGTCCTCAGTCAGTGTAGCAGAGCAGCTGTCATTGTCACAACTGAAATGGCCAAGTCCAGGRATCTGTGCTCACCTTTTGGGGTGTGTGAGAGCAGATCCCAGGACATTCTTGAGTTCAGCAGCAGGCTGAGTGTGCTGTGCTGGTGCCCCTGGAGGAGTCACCTCAGCTGCCTTCAGRACTCACCAGAGATGAAATTGCACCCCAAACCAGAACATTTCAGAAAGGCAGGTGGTGCTAAAATGGAAATGGCAAGCACACAGGTGGGAGACAAACCTCTGGGGTCTTTCCCAGTCTCGTTTTCTCATTTTAATCAAAATAAAGAGCTGTAGAAAGTCTCTCTATATTTTCCGTTGCTTTGGAGTGTTTAAGACTTTCCAGTACTTTATAAGCTTGGTTTGGATAATGTGAGTATTGTGGGGTCTGATCYTCCAAGTGTCTTCTGCTATTATCAATCTCTGGCTATTGTTAGGGAAATCAGACTGAGAGTCTGTGTGATGGTTCCCTCTTTTATTATAACAAGCACCAGCAGCCACTCCTGTGTTTATCTTGTCTTGGGTACATTAAGTAAGGTCTGCATCCGGGCTTGGGCTTAGCTGATTTCTGCTTGAAGTGAGGATTGTTTGTTCTCTGCAATGAAACAATCTTTTGTGACAAGCTAACAATGGCAAGGGATGAGCTCTGATGTTAAACAGTGGTAGCTTTTTATTTTCTTTCTTTTTTTTTTTTCTTTTTTTTTCCTCATTTTAAGTCTACCCAGTGCCTCGGGAAGAAGGCAGCTGCACTAATAATGTGTCTGGTCTCTGTGGAARGCCCTTATTTGAAAAATCTGTAATTGAGTGGACAAAATTTCTGGTTGCTTGAGAGGATCTATTCAGAAGAGACCTGAAAGGGATGAGGGAAAAGCGCACCAGACATCAAGAAGTCCTAAGAGCTTTATTGAGCGGGGAAACCTMTGTAGATATTGTGGGACAATTAGACTTGTCAGGCAAAACACTAAAATGGATCTGTGRAAAAAMMAAAAAAAMTCCTGGGGAATGTTAAACAAAGCTTTGAACTGGGCACAGAGCTTGCTGGGAATAACTCAAAAGCAAGGAGGTGTTTTTGGGTGATCTTTGAAGGAAGGCACACAATGGCTGCTTCAAAGAGCAGGCACAGAACGTGCGTTATCACAGTGGCCGTGTCACAGCTGCCAGGTCAGCACCAGGGGACAGCTCTTCACTGGCTTAGGTTTATGTGCTCCTTTGCTCTTTTCAGGGAGCTGTTGCAATGCCCAGCCCTCCCTGGTGCCCTGCTCAGGGACAAGTTGCTGCTGTTGGCATTTCCAACCCCTGCCTTTCATGCCTGCTTTGGAGCTGAGGAAGATGTGCTGTGCACAGTGGAGGGGATGAGTTCCCTGTGGAAGGCAAATAACTCTGTGTGGTTATTTGTGCCCCCAGTCAAGTTTTGTTGTGTGGGATTTTAAGAACTGCTTGCTTAGATGGAACATAGTGGGTTTTGCTTCTTTCCTGCATCAGTTGCTGATGGCAGTGGGTGGTGTGGGGCATTAATGAACAATCCCTGGCACCCTCTGAATGGGGTTTGCTGTCAAAACTTCAGATGCCTGAAAGATCARCCCATTAATGATGAGGCCAGCATCAGCTCAGCCTATTTTCGGGTTTTTCTTTGCTGCTTCRCTCTTTGATGTAAAGACAGCTGTGTTCCCCTCTCTCTTTATGTAGACCAAACTTTTTATCTCCACTTTGGAACAAGCTGTCCATTGTTTTGATCACGCAGTGATCTTTCTCTGCAGCTCTCCTRTTTGAATTCTTGTTAATCGTGGTGACTGCCAGTGTCTGTGCTAATTCAGATGTGGCTCCAGTCCRTGTTCAGTAGCATAAATATTTCCATATTTAAATGCAAATCTCCTCTGATAAGCATTTAACGTTGCTATCCCCTTGCACGCTGGGGCTGTGCCTGCCTTGCAGCTTGAAGACGTGTCTGACTGGGCTTTTGCCTGGTTTTTATTTATGCATGAGTGGATGGTTATGTTGTGTGCTTTGAAGAAACCAAACACAACTTAAGTGCTCTAAATGTGGTTTATTTCTGAAAATGAATTCCCCTGAGTCTCTTTTAAGTTGCACTGGTTCTCCACAAGTGTCCAAGAATCTTGGCTCAGGGTCTGCCAGCTGTCTTCACTCCTTTGCCTCTTCCTCTGCTGCATTCTTTCTCATTCTATAATCTTTGTTCCTCTTTTTTTTTTTTTTTTTTTTCTCCTGTTTAGTTGCTTCTAAGGTTTTGGACCACCTTCAAAACTCTTGCTTAGGCAGTTATTTTTATACCTTTGCTTTAAGAGTAGTTATTCTTATTTCCTTTTCCCCGTTGCTACGTTTGTTACGTGTTGAGGCCGTACTTCCAAAGACATCTTCTGGTCCAGACAGAGCTGCACTTTAAAGAAATTCATTGTCACAGTGTGCCAACATCTCCTTTTCTCTTTCTCTTTTTTCATCTTCAGAGCACCTGAAGAAGCGCCTGGAGGATTACATGGCACAATTCCCAAATGTGCGGATCCTGCGCACCAAGAAGAGGGAAGGGCTGATCAGAACTCGCATGTTGGGAGCCTCTGTGGCCATCGGGGACGTCATCACCTTCCTGGATTCCCACTGTGAGGCCAATGTCAACTGGCTGCCACCTCTGTTAGGTGAGTGAAGGGCTTGTTGGAATTATTCCCACCTTCTGGTTTTCCCTTGTGCTGTGAGTGGATAAAAGAGACGTAAAATGTCATGGAAGGGAGAACAAACGGCAACTTGTAGCCTTTAATACAAGATTTTTTCTTTTCTGGAGTCCTGTGCTGTGCAGTAACCCTGTCATGTGCTTTTTTTAATTAAAGACCAGAAATCATATCCTTCTGTTTCCTCATTAAATGAAATCTTAAATAATTTACAGCTTGCTAAAAGAGTAAACTATCACGTGGTCATTCAACAGCTTGCAGAGAGAAATGGCTTTATGATATAGAAGAGATCTTCACATAGAGTTTTTGAGTAACTTTCAGGGGTTTTATCTCCTATATAACTATATTTAACTCCATAGTCTGCGAGCCTGTGAAAAATACTTCTTGTGAAGAGAGCTGCTGGTGTGTATTTGTAGAACATGGGCACCCTTTTCYGAGGCAGCACTTCATCCTTAAGGAGGTGTCAGTTCTTTTCAAGGATGATTAATTGAAGGGACAGTGCTGTCTGTGTCTGGTACCTGTCTGCCTCCGGCCAGCCCCAAAATCCTTCACAGCYCTGCTGGGAGTGACCTGTCAGAGCTCTCTGAGGTGTGACTTGCTCAAACAGGCTGTGGCAACAGCAGCCAAGTGGAGATTTTTAAGAAAGAGTCAGATTTCCCTCCAGGATTGATGGTTGGTTATCCTGTTGCTTTCACTGCAGTTTATATCTGGCAATAGTTTGAAACATTTGCAGCTTTATGAGCCCCGGGGAGGGAGGACAGAATTAGCTCCAGTGCCATTTAAATGAGAACACAAAGAGGATGCTTTGATTTTTAAAGCACAGAAAGGATTTCTGTGAGATGTGCTTTGGAAGCTGAAACATCATTTATCGCCTCTGCTCTGAGAGCTAACTTCCAACCAGAGACTGTCTCTGTAATAAAGTATTTAAGAAATTCCAGATGTTTATGCAGGAATTTATCCTGTGGTGTATTATTTGGTTGGAAGAAAAGGTTAGAGKGGAGGAGGTAACACTTGCATTTCTTGAGCCTGCTGAGAGTACTTATGGCATTAGTCTGAAACATTTCCTGCCAGATYCTGGCGTGGCAATTAGGGCTGGGTGGTGCAGTGGGTTACTCCCTGGATTTGAATCTGCACAGAGGGGTTCGTGTCCTGGTCACTTGTGGAAATGGGGATTGCTCACCGAGGACAGGAGGTCTGGTTTTAGCCTGRCAGTGAGTTATCTGAGGTTGTGTGCCTGCATCTTCCTATTCTGCTTCTGGGTGAKGGGTGCCTGGTGTTTTCCTCTCCATTATTGCAGAAGTAGCAGATAAATTGATATAAATAGGAGCATCTGCTCACGAGAGAAGCAACAGGAAGAAAGCTGTCATTCTTGGACAACTTCTTATTTTGATGCTCTTTTTTTTTTTTTTTATTTTTTGTAATTTCACGCTCAAAAGAACCAACTGGTGCAGGTTTTCTAACGGGTTTCTCCAATCCTCAGATCGCATTGCCCGGAACCGCAAAACCATCGTTTGCCCCATGATCGATGTCATTGATCACGACCACTTTGGCTATGAGACTCAGGCTGGAGATGCAATGAGAGGGGCTTTCGACTGGGAGATGTATTACAAGAGGATCCCTATTCCTCCTGAGCTGCAGAAACCTGATCCCAGCGATCCCTTTGAGTAAGTTCCTGAAAATCAGCGTGCTAAGAGCCAGCTCATGAAATAACACCCTGCTGCTGGGCTGGTTTGCACCTCAGCACAGTTAAAGTCARAAGCTGGTGTTAAGCTACTTGCTTTTTTGGCAGCTGTTTGCTTTGTTGGTTTAAAAGGAAAGCATTGTACGGTAGCTGGGAACGCTCTCCTTTTCATTGCTGTTTTTTGCCACGTTAATTCCTGCAGAAGTTAACATTTCACTGCAARCTCGAATGTGTAACGATTAATGTGGTCATTTACTACCGAGATCTTTCAGACATAACTTAGTATCCCCAATGCTCTGCCAAAAACAACAAACCARTGGTGGGTTGTGTGTCATTCCCAGGTGGGGGAAGAAGAAAACCTAGCAGAATAATTACAGCAATTTTGATGATTACAGTGCATTGCAGAAGTAAATCTGTGATCAAGTTGTGCTCTGCTGTTGCTGTGCTTGCCAACATTGAGACAGTTTTGCTGTCCTTTATACTTCTGCAGTGTTTAAAAAAAAAAACAAAAAAAGCCCAAAAAGCAACAAAACACTTTTTGAGGTCAAATTCAATCCTACAGCTGAGGCAGAGCACCATGTGTGGAGCATACAGGTGTTGTCCTGTCACTTAATGGTCAACTCCTGCCTGTTTGGAGGAGAGGCATTGGCTGGTTCTGAAGGGAGCCTGGTCCATTCCTCCTCCTTTGCAAGTGGGAAATCAGGAGATAACACCAAAACAACTGTTTAATGCTCTGACAGGGCCRTAAAGGCACCGGGAACACTGGGTGGTGAAAAGAATATTTGTCAAATCTTGCTTTGTTTTTTTAAATGTTTAGCTAGAGATCTGTGTCTTTGAATGTGTTTGTAATATGGAGTCTGGTTTTTCCTTAAGGTCTCCTGTAATGGCTGGAGGACTGTTTGCAGTCGATAGAAAGTGGTTCTGGGAGCTGGGAGGGTATGATGCAGGTCTGGAGATATGGGGAGGAGAGCAGTATGAAATATCCTTTAAGGTGAGCCACGTTCTCTGGAAATTACTTTTGTTTTGCAAAGTAAGCGTTTGTTTCGAGGCACAGAGTGTGAATGATCGATCTTGTCCTTGCTTTTGCGTGTGACTAAAGCTGAAAGAGCTGGGAGTAGTGAGACAGTGCACACACAAAGCAGCACTGATGGGARCAGYCMCTTGTGAGGGTCAGTTTTGGAGCAGGATTAGCTGGGCTGGCCCCATCTGTGGTCACAGCTCCCGATGTGTGTGCTGGTCCCAGCGAGGGTAAATCAGTTTGTGTGCAGCTCCCTGACTCCTGGCTGTTAGTGCTCATCCCAGAAAGGTGGTGAAATACTCTCCTCCTCGAGGCATGGAGGATTCCAGTTCCAAGAGGACCTCAGTCCTCAGCTTGAGTTCCCAGAGAAGAGAACATTCTCTGTAGTTAATCCAGCTGATTGCTGGCTCTGAGGAACTCAGGCCATTACTTACTCAAGAAAAAATCTTCAACAACTGGAGTAACAACTGTTGCTGGCAGTGACTTTGGATTATTATCTGCCTGATTTAGGGACAGTTCTGCTACTTACTGATTGACTGAGCTGGTCAGTTGAGAGCTCTAACGTTAAGAGTTAGCCAGCTGACCAAAAATGCATTCTAAGAGTAACAAACCAGTGTAACCCAGGATTGCTGGTACTGTGTTATGTTGGAATACGGCACTCTGAAATCCAACTTGGCAAACCCATCAGAATGTCCCAAACCCCTGAAGGCAGGTGGCCAATCTTCAGTGGGCCAAACTGAGTAGAGATTTCCACCTTAAGCTGTTTGGAATTTATTTCAGAGGTCGAATATTTAATTTTACGGGTGTCTGGATGCCACTGATCTGAGCTAGCTGACCTCAGCACGGGGCTGGGAGATGGCAGGGATGCTACTGTAGTGCACAGTTTGGCTTCAGCAGCTAMAATTCTGCACAYCTCCCCTGAAMAGTCACAGCTAATCTCTTACAAACCAGATTCCTGAATCTCCATGCCTTTCAAAGGATATCAACCCTCAGCAAGCCTTGTTGCCACACACACACCCCATGTGCTACTGGCCAGCAAGCAGTGGGAGAAAAGACTGATTTTGAGACAGTCTCTTCTTCCATCATTTGCTCACAAGAACCCATAAGTCACCTCGGATGCCCCTTGTCCTCTGTGGTGGTGGCAGGAAGGGAGGGGTTTGGGCACCCTCTTTGGGGGTGTCATTATGGTTTGAGCCGTTCCATCTCTGTGGTTCATGCAGTGAAATTGTGTGAGTGAGGTGCTCATTCTCTGCAGGAGGGGCAGCATTCAGCCTCTTCCTCTCAGAAAATGCTGGTTTCCAAGAGTGATGACAGTGGCTGGGCAAGCCCTTTGTCTCCAGTGCCACAGCAGACAGTCACACTGCTTGATCTGCAGGAAATAAGACTACTTCATTCATCTGTTTGCTTATCCCTTCTGAAACACGCTGTGTTTTATTTCAGTCCAGAGCTGGTAATTTATGGAGGGATAAATTTGCTTTAATTAATCTCTGCAAAGACCCCCTTTTCTCTTTCATTGTGCAACAGAAAAATGAAGTTTTTGCTGAAAGAGGCTCAGTGTATTTTCAGAAATTAAGATAAATTGATACATTCATCTGTGGCTGATAGATTTAATAATTCTGCTGGAATTGCAAGAATAGAAGGTTTGTTCACAGAATTTATGAAGCTATGACATTTCCTGGCAAGCTTAGAGCTACGTTTTTACCTTTAGAAGCAGACTGAGATTTTGTAGTTAAAGGTGCACTGTCAAATAATTTAAAGCTCTGGCTTTAGGTGTGGGGTACCCACTTTCACATTATTTATTATCTCATGGGAATTCAGATTCTAAGCATGCCAGATTTACAGCACAGYTTTAACAAAGAATCCATTCCTATCCCTGGGGGTTGTGGGTGCAGATAGTCTTCTCTGCTGCTGGTCTGTGATCCATTGTATTGCATCTGGCTTTCTCCATCCTCACCAGGAGTACAGGGCTTTTGGGGGGATATTTTGTGGTTTGAGGCTTTTTTTTATCTTAAGCATATTATCTTTTTTTGGCCATTCACGGACTATGCTTTGCTGATTTTGCCTTTATTTTAAAATCRAGGGCTCTGTTGCTGAGAGACTGGAAATAAACAAGTTTATTTAGGAGCCTCTTGCCTTTCCTTTTGGAAATCATACGTATTTGTGTTATCAGCTGGCTCTGCTTCCCTCTGAGCAGAAATATTCAAGCAAGCCAACAGAGAAAGCATCAGCGTTTAACACCTCAGAAAACATTTAGCTAGAGGGTGGATCAAATTCTAGAAGCCTTGCACCTTGTATGAAACATGTACATCAAACCCCACTAGAAAACATTGCATGTAGGAGGAGAAACATAAATTAGGTGAACTTTCTAACCTTAACTGGTGGTTTTTAGTTTTCTGAGTCTTGCCAATCCCTTAGAACAGAAATGTCTCATTTAGAAATGAGGGAGTTGACCTATCCATTCCTTATTCAAGCAGAAAACAGGCACTGCTTCCTTCTGTTGGTGTGTGTGTATCCAGAGCAGCTCGGTGCCTCCGAGCCAGCACTGCTGCAGGTCAGGCTGCTCCTGTTTGAGGTCACCCCCAAACACAACAGAACACAATCTCCAGTGGTGGTTACAGGTGAATTCCCAGGTGCTGACCTTGGAGTGTGTTCTTGTATTTTGGAAAAAGGTGAACAAGTGTTCACAACTGTCTCTGAGGGGTCTTTGTCACCTTTCCTTTCTGCTGCCTCATGGTTCCCCTGTTCAGTGGACTTCACTTTTTGCTTTTTTTGGAGTCCTTTCCTTACTTCTCCTCTCTTATTTTTCCGGGATTTTTAATCTTTCTGATCATATGAACAAAACTGAATGCTTTACCCAAAGTTACGATGGGCCTTTCCTCTTCTAAACRCAGTTTAATAGCTGCCTATGTAACCACTTCATTTTTTTGACAGAAATGCATTTAATTTGGAGCAGTGTAAGTGAAGCATGTAAACTGTTCCTCTCTCCAAGTGCTACTTTGTACAGCACTTATCTCTGCTCAGTTTTATTTGAGATCATGTTGCCTCTTTTTCTGTGTTTTTGTGGCTTCTGTTCTGTTTGGCTTACATAATCTTCACTCAACTGCTTCATGCTCTCTTCCWCAAATATATAGTCTAATTTTTCTGGTTATGGGGAAGCAGAAGAGTAAAAAGGGATGTCTCTTGTATGGGCATAAATATAGATGTACTTTGTATCTCAGATCTGAGTGCTGTGGTCCTCAGTCCTTTAATTGCACACTGTACTTGAAGAGCAAAGAATGAGAATCCGAAATGTCCCTCGCTAGGTGATAAACCATTTCAKTTTTAGAAATGTTTGTCTTGTAATTTAGAGATTGCAAAGCCTTCATAAAATTCAATGGGCTCAGTGCAAAAAAGCAAAATTGACAGTTGCCCTGAAAAGAACAATTAGAGGGGAGATAAAAGAGAGCTGCTCAGTATTTGTGGTCTTTACTTCTTGCTTCAGCAATTGGAAAGAGCCATTGCACTTTTTCTGGTGATTGTAGCTCATTGCCTTTTTCCAGATCCTTTTCCCAAACCATCAATGTGGATTCCTTCTGATTTCTATAGCATGAAAAATGTTACAAGTTTTCCAACAAATCCAAGTGCTTCATAACTTCTGTTCCCGTGTCTAATGCCTGCATCTCCTTTGCCCATGCCAGCAGYGTGTTTCTGATTCCCATTTTGCCCCTGGGCTCTGGCAGGTGTGTAGTTGGGGTGCAGCTGCCAAGGGATCCCTTCTGGCAGCGTTTTCCCTTGTGCTGCTGAAGTTAGTGCTGATTGTGAGCCTGCACTGCTTATTCCAGGCACATCCTCACACCACTTTCCAGCAGCTCACGTTTGCCCACACTGGAACAGGCCGGGCATTCTGCTGCTTTTTTTGTGGGTTTTTTTTTTAGCCGGCACATGCTGCTTCATTCTAAGGCTCTCAGCTGCAGTACAGGGTGGTTTCTTTCTCCCTTCCTGGTGATGCACAGATCAGTTTCAGACCATTGACTTGAATTTTTTGCTACTGTTCATCCTCTGCTTGGTTCAGGTTCCTGAGCAGCCTCCCACCAAGCAGCAGCAGGGAAGTGSTCCCCTCCAGTCCCTGAAATGGGATTATTAGAAAGTGCTGTCATTGCTCTCAAAAGCTACAGGTGGTGAGGAGGRGCTGTGCTGGTGTGTGAGAAGGTGCTGTGCAAACACACAGATCCCGGTGCCTCAYGAGCTGCCTTAATCTCTCAGAGAGCACCAAGTCCCAGCAGCAGGAGCAGCTGATGCTTCCAGTATAGAGGATTACAATTTTGTTGAATTATTGCCCTTGCTTTCATCCTCTCACCTACTTTGTGATGCAGAGAGCCCCCCTGACTTATCCTCTGTGTCCTTTTCTTCCCACCTTTCAGTGTGTGCTCACACAACCAGCCAGCTGSTCTCTGTTGGTCCATCCCATGGTCCTCATTTCTGTTGTGTCTTGCAGAAGCAGCTTYATTTTCAAGGCTTAACTATCCTTTGTGTTTTTTGCCCCTCTTGGGAAGCATTGACTCATCATGGTGCAGTGTTTGGAAACCATAAACCTTGTATACCCAGATAATTTGTGTTCACACACCAACTGCAGCATTGTATTGTGTGTTTGAGAGGAAAGGTTCAGCTGTCTTACCTGACATTGTTTTCTGAAATTGCAGAAAGGGAATTGGATCAGCATAACATTCCCATGTAGAGAATAGGTGGCATATTATCTGCTGCTTTCATAGCACACTGACTGAATCAAAGGCTCTGGAGTCGCTTTATGAATATGGAGTTACAGCTCTCCAGGCCTCTGGGAAGATGGAAGCAATATCACCAGTGTTACTTTATTTCCCTTGTGTAGTTTTTATTATTAGGGTGAGATTGTGGCCTTTGCTAAATCTGTTCCTTGTGCCCGTTGACCTCAGCGTAGCCAGGTTTTCTCTTAATTCTAGCAGATCTGTCAGCTGCTGGATTMCAAACCCAAAATGAAGATTGGCAAAATTGTGCCTGAGGAGGAAGAGAAATTTCCTGTTCCCTCTTGATGAGATCTGATTAGATTATTGTAAGCAGCACTGTCTGCCTGACCAGCTTTAATTCTTGTTCTTACGGCGTAAATGGCTGTTTGAAATCAGGTGCAAGTTCAGGCTCTGACGTTTTCTGTCMTATCAGCCAGGGAGTGAGGCAGGATCTGTAAAACAGCCAGAAGGAGCTGGTTCCCCTGGCCTGAGGAGAAGGCAGTAAGTGACAGTCAGTGCTGTGRGAAGGCACGAGGTGCTGCCCCACAGCCCAGCACCGATTCAGCTGTCTGATAGTGTGGTATTTTTAGCAGTGTACGTTCTGCTGTGCCCTGCCTGGGAACTGTACTCCTGTTTAAAAACAGCCAAATATCATAACTGAGTGGAAGTGTTCCCTCAGCTAGCACACAGCTATTCTAAGTTTGCTTCCCTTGCAATTACTCCTTGACAGACCCTTGGATGCAGTTCCCTGACCTTTAGCTCTGGCTTTCTAATGCTTTTGTCAGCTGTGCTTTACCAATGCATATCACGCTCCTTCCCTCTCCCCTTTCTTCCAGTTGTATAGATAAGGACTGGTAATTGTCTTTATGGAGGTTRTAATGAGTTCTGTCACCACACAAAGCAGCTCACTAATAAAATAAATCAAAGCAGCAACGAATGAATGGAAAGCATGCCTTTAAAATTAGATTTGTACTGCGGGTGCCATACTGTCACTTGCAGCGTGAGACGACGTTAAAAAGGCACTGAGTTGGCGAAGTACCTTGAAAGGGTCACTGAGCTCTGCTGGCAGGGATTAGGAAGCTTTCCCTTGCCTCCATTGCAGCATTTGGAAGTAAATATTTTAAAGCATGATTTGGAAAAGTGCAAGTCAAACTGATGTTAGATTTTACTTCAGTTAAGTGGCTTTTCTGATCACATCGCTGCATGTGTTCGTGTAATGTCTTCTACACCTGGAGTCTTGTATTTGCTCTTGGAGCTCCTGCCCATGGGTTCTGTCCAGCTTTCCCCTCCTGCTGCCTGTCCAGTGCAGGGCTCCTTGAATCAGTGCTTTTAGCTCTTCACCAGCTCTGCAGCACAAGGACAGCACTCTCCTCTCCAGCKGTACTGACTGCAGGGCTCTGCTGCTCACCTTGCACAGGGACATCATGTTCCAGGGAAGGGTGGGCTGATGAAAGCCTTTCTTGAGGCACAGGTGAGGCATCCTATGGGCAGGCAGCAAGAAAAGCAGACTGGTGTTTGCAGCCAGGCTGGTGTTACTCTGAAATACTGAGAGTCCCTCAGGCTGCCCTGCTGCAGGATGCTGACTGTGTGTATCTGTGCACGGAGCTCTGGGCTGCTGCTGCTGCAGCTTTTTACAGTTCCCAGACATTTGCAGCTCTTACAGCCTCACACAAACCACTTCTGTTACAGAAACACAAACCATGCCCAGATTATTGTTTTCTCAGCCTATCTTAATTTCCCAGCAGTGAAATCACGCTCTGGCCCTCTGCAGCCAAAAGCACAGTTGCTGCAGAATAAGAAGCATTTCTAATTCCATAAGAAACTTCACAGAAGCTGAGTGCTAGTTCGTTTTTCATCTCTTCTGCACCAGCCCTCTTAGGACACAGCAGGGACAAAAGGAATGAAATGCTGTGGAAGGAGTATTTGTCAACTTTCTTCTCATCTCTCTCACCCTAACCACATGTAATTAAGTACCTTGAACTTTAGAAGTTGCCTGTGAAAAACATTTTTCTAACTGAGAGCAACCAACCTCCATTAAGTTATACTCASTCAGCAAATGAGTGTAATTATTAGGGCCAGCAGACAGAGCTGAAACTCCAGAGGACTTTCGTGTCAGAGCTAATAATTATGCAGCAGTCTTGGCCAAATATTTCTCTTCCGAGCTAAGTATTTAATATTGTCGCTGTAGAATATTAATGGAATTGCCTGCTATGTATGAAGCTGTTGACTAAGCTCATTGTACAGTGAACTGTGGTGGTTCAAATTAGCCCCAGTGAACAGGGAGTTCAAGAGCACTGCAGCACCAGCCTGCCCAAAATCCATGGCCTTCAGGGCATTCCCGTGGGATCYGGGAASAAACAGAWGGGCAAAGGCAGTGCCTYRCTTCAGGAATTCAGAAAGTCATTTRTTTGGCATTTTAAAGGGTRCTTTTTCTTTAAGTATTGATTGGATATTTCTGTGGAGYACAGAAATGTTTCTTACACCTAATGAAGTAGATTGGTTGCTTTAGAAGATGTCTCCTTTTGTTTCACTTGTATGAAATTATTACATCCATGCTATAAATAAAGAATAAAAGTTGTTGCAGAGAGCTGGCACAAAGTGGAATCTTTCCAGATGGGGAAGGAAGCTTTKGGGCAAAATCTAGACATTAACCAAGCATCAAGGTAGTCATCTCCAGCTAGAACTGTGTTCTAGTGACTTCCTGAGGGCTTTTTTAAAGCTATTTCTGTGTTCACTAGGCAGAGATTTCCACTTAATTGTGARGCTGCAAAAGCAATGAATGAATGTMRGCAATGAAACCATAAAAGAGCAGTGATAACCACGGGAGAAAGTAGCAGTTTCTTCTGATTTCTGGCACTTGAACAGGCTCATGAATTCCCTGGAGCCTTTTGCATAACACATGACCACCTGTACCAGGGAGATGGCCTCCCTTTTACAGCCTCGTTACACAACCTACACCCAGGGTTTTTTATGGCAGSCCAGTTTAACTATTGTGGTTACTATTGCTGTAATAACATACATCAGTTTAAAGCGAGGTGTGTGCTGTTTTCTCAGCGCTGGGATTTTTTTCCCTGTTCTTTTCTGTATAGAAGGCTTGAGAGCTCTTGTGCTAAATCAAGGCTTGCTGCATGGCTCTAWGCGGGGAGTTACAGGATTTGGGGCTAAGGCAAGGAGGGGAGGGGATTTGGGAAGAGTGTGCTTTAATGTAAAAAATCTGGGTTTAAGTTTTTTTTACTACTTGGAAGTCTTTTTCATTTTTTTCCATAAAGCAAGACTGARTGTGTTTCTCCACTGTTCCACAGGTATGGATGTGTGGGGGTCGCATGGAGGAYATCCCTTGCTCTAGAGTTGGTCATATCTACAGGAAATATGTTCCATACAAGGTTCCCACAGGAGTCAGCCTGGCAAGAGTAAGTGGCAGTGACATTCCCCTCTACAATAGTCTGACTGCAACGTGACCGTGCTGTTGTCTACTCCCACCCCACAGTGGGAGGCAGATGGAGGGGTTTTGTCTGTGATTTGCACTGGTGAGTGCAAGCTGAGCAGTTTTGCAGTGGTGGATGCATAGCACAAAGGGAAGGAGAGAACCTGGGGAGCTGCAGAGGTGTGTGTGAACAGCTGTCATGTTCAGACATCAGCCACTGCTGGGTGCTGGGCAGGGACTTTGTGATCAGGCACTGGCTATAAAAACAAGATATGGCTTTATTTGTATAATACTTCAGTCATTTTATAGCTGTGCTCTCTGAGAGCAGCAGGCTTCAGCGTGGTGATTGGTTCTGGTGATTGAAAGACCTCTCAGCTTCAAGCATCACAGACCACTGAATGGGCAAGCTGTAATTTTCCACAATGGAATGTTCTGTGCCATCTTATTTCTTAATCTAGTGTAGCCCAAAGAGGAAAGAGCTTTCGCCTATCCTGCACTGGGTTTCTCCAGCTAATTTTCAAATTGAGGAGGGATGCATTGCCCTCTGGTGGGAGAAAAAAATCATAGGAGCTGGAAGGCTGCTAAACTAAAAACCTCAGAGAGGTGCCCTGCTGTTCTGCAGTCTTATGGCTTCCCAGTTTAATAGCATTACCCCAGTTACAGATTTGGATTTATTCCTGGGCCCAGCAATGACCTGTCAGAGCAGCAAAGCACTCTCTTGTCTGTGCCATCTCTTCAGGAGGGAGCTGGGTTTCTTTTGATGGAGTATTTGGCTCTTGTGTACTCCCATGGTGCTGGAAGGAGACAGCAGAGGTAGCCAAGRCTGTTTTATGACAACCAGCATCACACAGACACCTGGAGAGCAACACCTGCTCCCGCTGGGTGGAGGCTGCATTTGGGGCAGGGTCAGCACACTGCTCACTCTTGGCTTCCTCATTTTTTGGGAGTAAATATYTGCTGGCCTGAGCAGCTTCACACAGGGAGTCACAGCTGCATGTGGCACTTTACTGTGTGCCTGATGTTGCCAGAGAGCAGCCCAAGGTACAGCACTCTCAAGGGCTCTGTGACAAGCAGGCTGCCTTGAGAGCGTGGTGTTTGTTGCTGTCCTGGAGTTGCACAGTGGATTAAGCTTGTCAGTAGTACATGAAATGTGCTGCTGCCAGGAGGTAAAAACCCTTTGCTTCTGTTCTGAAGGGTCATCATTGCCTGCAAGTTCTGTATTCTCAGAGTTGTACCCAAGAAAATGGAAAGTAGTGCTAAGGAAGAGTATTGTGTACTGAAGCTTTCCAGAAGGGAACACTGCAAATCCCATTTCTAGATGAATATAAAAGATGCAATAAGAAGGATTTAARAAAGCAGCTTTTTGTCAGAGACCTTTGAATGTCCAGTGGTATTTACCAGCATCATGTTCTGACTAGTTTCCTTACAGAAAAAAAGAGGAAAAAAAACAACTTTTGATTAATGTTGTTTTTCTTAGCCACAAGGAACTAGATAAAATGGCCAAGTGCCAGGATTCTGTTTTGACCTCAACTGAAAATATCTTTCAAAAAGTCCCTTGGAACTAGAGAGTAATAAAAATAATCTTTGTCCTGAAGCTGGAGAGAAAGAGTGGATGTGAATGAAAATCCTCTTTGAGCAAAAACACGCGAGCTGCTCTGAATGCTAATGGTGGTTTGTGCAGCACTCTCAGGTGGTTTCCTTTCCCCTCTCGTGGTGCCCCACAGAACCTGAAGCGGGTGGCTGAGGTGTGGATGGATGAATATGCAGAGTACATTTACCAGCGCAGACCCGAGTACCGGCACCTCTCCGCGGGCGATGTGGCTGCTCAGAAGGAGCTTCGCAACAACCTCAACTGCAAAAGCTTCAAGTGGTTCATGAACGAGGTCGCCTGGGACCTGCCAAAGTTCTACCCACCCGTGGAGCCTCCAGCAGCTGCCTGGGGAGAGGCAAGTTTGTGCTCTGGTGTCTGCAGTGGGCAGGCAGGCTGTGCTTGGGGTTTGTGGGGTTGCCCGTTTGCCCCAGTTGCTGTGGGTAAGGTGTGAGAGAGTGTTTAAAGATCTGCTTGATGTTTCAAAACCCAAAACTCCTYTAGCATTGCACTGGCCTGATCAAAGCAGGCAGTTGGGCAGGCAGCTGCTTCTGTTAGTGCACAGCTCCAACGAGAATACWGACTTGGCTTGTTCTGCATGTTGTGCATTTAGTAGAAAGCAGAACATGCCAGAGGGAGGACTAGGGAGAGGCAGCAGCTGAGCAAGTGAAATCCTGTATTTCCAAAGGGCTTCACAACTGTGTTGAGCTACTYGTGTCCTCAGCTTTCCCATGTGAAAGCCATCCATATTCTTCAAAGTTAACTGTGTTCTGGGAATAGAATCACCCCAGGAGCAAGGCTGTGAATTGTTACACACAACTCTCATGGCCAAGTGTTTTGGGTTGCTTAAAGAATCACTGGCAAAGGTGTCAGCAAAAGCARSTTTCATATAAAATTGAAAGYATTGCAAAGTTTATTGGCAAGGTTCACTTTACTGCTTGCTAGATGGTTAAAGCACACAGAAAAAAAAGCAAAGTAAAATGTAAAATCAATCCATCTAAAATTAAAATAAACCAAAAATTACCTGGGTGAAGGCTGGCAATGGATAAAGGGCAGGGATAAAAAAGAATAAGGGAGATGCTCACAAGGTTGAGAGCAGACCCCTTTGCCAAACTTAGCCCTGAACTTGACCAACAGTTTAGGCCTAAAGGTTTAATTGCACTTAAGCCATAGCTTAAATGCTGTTAAATTTAARTTAAACAATTTAGCAAAAGATTCATGTAGAATTTACTGAAGCACAACAATAACTGACTTCCAAGCCCAACTTCCAAATCTTAAGTGCTTAAGAATTGAGGAGAGCAACATTCACTGTACATTTCCGTAGTAAATTCACTTTTACTCCTCAGGGAGGATGTGTAAGGTACAGACCTGTGAAAAATGGCCCCACCAGATAACCCCACACTGGGAAAAACTATCTTCATAAAAATACTGCTGCATTTTGAGCCAATTTGAGCCTTCTTTCCTGGTAGGAGTAGGAGTTCAGTGACTRATTAACTATTTCAGATACGCAATGTAGGAGCTGGACTGTGTGTGGATACCAAGCACGGAGCCCTGGGATCTCCACTGAGGCTGGAAAACTGCGTGAAGGACAGAGGAGARGCAGCGTGGAACAACGTGCAGGTAACAATCAGTCCTGAAAATCATTGACCTCTAAATCTGGGAGGGAGAGGTTCCAAGAGCCAATTTTTAAGGAGGGCCATTGCAGAGCTGTCAGGTACCCCAAGGCTCACGTGCTGGTTGTATTTTGGTACAGAATGTGGCTTGTGCTTGTGGCACAGGGTTGTCTGGATCCTGGCAGAGCTGTGCTGAGCTTTTACCTCTGCTTTGAAGTTCTGGAGTGAACAAAAGAAATGACAAGAAAACAGCGTGCCAAAACAATAAACCAGTAACAAGGCAGCTGTAATATGTAACAAAGTGAATATTAACTTCAAAGGTTGTGCTGAAAGAAGTGATAGAGGAGCATCATGCATATTAATGAGCCTGCAGGAGCATTCAATAACTGTTCACTATCATCCTCCTGACAGGAGGCAAATGCATTATAAACACCCAACTATTGCTGGAGAGAGATGAAACCAGCCAGGTTATAGATTCACCCTCTCAACATATGAGGTGCCAGAAACGACAGCTTTATTGTAACAGAAGGGAGGAAAATATTAGTTTGTCTAAACTGTAGCAGCTGAGCTGAGAAAGGATCAAGAAAACAATGCCTCTATTACAGAGCCATGCATAACTCTTCAGGGAATGGCTTCAGTAGTAGGAGACAGAGGGCTGTTGCATATCAATTTGATGTGTGAAAAATAGAAACAAAACCAATTTACTCAGGCACAGTCCAAAACTAAGCCTCCGTTGTGTCAGGAGGATCTTGAAAATTAGTTTTGGCTTATGTTTAGGAAGAGAATGTGGTTTGAACTTCTGTGTAGCATTGAGCCTAAATGATTGTGGTAATTTCTCTCTCAAGAGGGATTTAAAAGACAGCCAAGAACAAAGTAGTTTCTTTGTGCAAAAGTTTTTGGCCACATTGCTTCTAATAACAGCACCCCGATCTTTACTGGCCTTTCTGGCTGCCCCATGAGAGACCTCTGAAGAGAGAACCATTCCTCCAGCTGAGTCCAGAGGGGCGTTTTTTCCTCAGGGACTGAGAGGGAAGCATGCAGGCTGGTAGCCCTGCAGAACCACGTGGGCCAGTGCTGGTCACAGGGGACACCTTCATCAAGGCACTGCCAAGCACAGGTTGTGCCCAGTTACTGGAGCTAAAACTCTTCCTCTGCTCTGGAGTTCATTGCAGGGTCAGTAGAAAGGAGCATCAGGCAGCAATGCCCAAGTGTTTGCCCTTCCAACACCGTGTGGATGGGCTGGGAAGCTCTGGACTCCTGTGACTCCTCAAGGTGACTGCAGGCTGCCTGTGCAGACTCGGGTGTTCACTGACAGCGTTAACTCAGAGCTCCTGAAGATCTCTGGCTTTTTTCTGGCTGGGAAGGGCTGTAATTGGTCAGCTGCTCACTTAATCCTTGATGTATGTCTGCATTGCAGAGATGTCCAGRRCTGCTGTAGYACCAAGCTGACCAGMATGTAGCAGCACAGTCTCCTTTCAYGTGCTGTGTGACAGCTGGAACAGAGTCCCCTGGTCAGCAGTCCCTGTCCCCAGAAGTGAGAGGAGTTTTTCCTCTAGAAGATACTGTCCTTTCCCTGAAACCACAGGGAGCAGCATTCTGCTGGTGAAATCAGCCTAACACCAGCCATCCTGAGGGTCCTGTTTGTCCTGACAGGTATTCACCTTCAGCTGGAGAGAGGACATCCGTCCYGGGGACCCTCAGCATACCAAGAAGTTCTGTTTTGATGCCATTTCCCACAGCAGCCCTGTGACCCTCTATGACTGTCACGGAATGAAGGGGAACCAGCTCTGGAGATACCGAAAAGTGAGTGTGTTCTGTGTGTGTGGGCGTAGGCGTATTCTCATCTAAGGTGTCAAATTGCCTGAGGCGCTTACATTTCCTGAAAATGTCACCACTCGTGTTTTATTCCTTCCCTTGGTGTAGCTGTAATAAGAGAATCTGCAGACAGCTCGTTGTCATTGTAGCATTGATTAAAAAGAGGTGACTCCCCTGTCCCACTGGTTAGAAAGGTGAGGACCCCAGGGCTCCTGACACTCTGTGCAGTGTCCCCACAACTGGCAGTGGGKTGATGCAAAGCCCCTGTGCTTGCAAAGAGGAGTTCTGAGCACTGGAATGTCCTGCCAAAGTAGATAAGGATTTATTCATCCTCCTACTAAGCGCTGCTATTGTGGGCCACAGGTAAGTAAATTCTTGYCTGAGTGCCCTGTCCTAGTCCTTGCAATCTGCTGGCACAGTGCCCCGAGGGATGCAGCAGGATTCCAGCCTGGAGAGCCCTGGCTTTAGGTCAGCTTTAGAGTTTCCAAGTGCAGGTGTGAGGATTTGGCTGAATTCTGTTGGAAGGGGTGGGAGTGGACCCAAACTCTTGTGTGGAACAACTTCAAATACACCCAAGTGACACAATAGCTCACCTTGGGTTTTCAGACTTCTTTCTGTTGGTTTTAAAACAGCTTTTCTTCTCCACTTAAGCAACCTCACATCAAATTTCTCTCCTCCAGGACAAGACCCTGTACCACCCAGTCAGCAGCAGCTGTATGGACTGCAGTGAGAGTGATCGAAAGATCTTTATGAATAGCTGCAATCCTTCATCTCCAACACAGCAGTGGATATTTGAACACACAAACTCAACCATCTTGGAAAAATTTAACAGAAATCTTGATCTTTAAAAGACTGAGAAAATATATATATATATATTTTACAATTATAGTTTTTACTGGGGAGGGTTACAAAAGAAATTTTTTTAATACTTTTTTTTAAACACTTAATGAAGGTAAAAGGGAGAATCTCAGGAGAAGGTTAACTAGCAGGCCAGTCTTTATTGTGAAGATGCTGCATCCTTCTCTTCTGGGGATGGTGGATTTTAAAGGCTTTGCCAGAGCCACTTCTGTGCTGAGACTGAACAGAAACTCTGTTTTTAGAGGAGTCTGAATGTGTTTCAAATGGCTTTTTTTTTGCCTTTTTTGTTTTGTTTTATTTTCCACTGGGGYCTGGTGTTAAATGATTTTRTTATCCAGGACCCTYCAGGACTTTTTGTAGCTGCTATACCACCCACTGAATCATTCCCACATAGGTGCTTTATCTTCCAAACTCCATAAAAGTAAAATCTTGAAGATAAGATTTAAGCTTCCAATCAAAAAAAAAAAAAAAAAAAAAGCCATTATTGTAAAATGAAATGAGTATTTTTTTGCCCTGAACCAAATATATTTCAAACAGGTTGAATATTATTACTTTCCAAATCATAGCTCTGATGAAGGAATGAGCTCTAGTGGAAGTGCAGCCAAGTGTTGGGAATATGGCTGTTGTTATTAGCCATGAGGAATCTGGGTTTCTGGTCCATTCACTTTGCAGTCAGTTTGTCACTCGCTGTTGAATCTTCAAGGTGAAAGATTAGCAGAGGGTTTTTAAGTAATTGCAGTTCTTATAGGTGAAGATTTTATGCTAAGAGCCCTTGGATATCAGGTTCCAAATTTGCCTCTTACAACCTTTTTAGCACAGACACCTCCAGGATTTCTCAGAGTTAAATCTACTGCGTGAAGACAATTTCCATTCTTCCTTTAGAGGTTTGAAGGCTAAGTTAATTCACAGTCCGTGTGAGCAGATTAATTCATGATAATTAAGTCAGGGCTGAGATTAGCCATTGGTCTTTATCCATTTGTTCATCAGTCTGTAGTTTCTTGAGTCCTGTGGTCAGTAGTGTTCTAGCCTTGTGGAAATGTGCTATTAATCTCTCCTCCCAGCACCCACAGCACCATACAGTCTACTGTGAATGGAAATCTATTTGCTTTAGCAGAGATGTGGGAMTGATAGACCCATTTTACTGGTACCCTCTCCCTTGTGCAGTCAGTGAGCAGTGCAAGGTGTTACCCTCCTGGTTTGGCCGTGGGATCTGCCAGATAGTGAACCACGATTTTCTCATCCCAGGAGCTGGAATGTACTGACACTGAAGAATGAATGGAGGACCACTGGTTCAAGYCCATCTGAAGCAAGTATTTTTTTTTWAAATCTGGTTTAAAATGAAGCTGTTGCAAMAACAGATTTACTAGTTCCCCTGACTTAGTCTTGTACTGAATGGAGCAGTGGCATTTCCTGGTAAAAGCTGTAAATGATGATGCAGTGAACCTTGTGCATAGGTGCTGTGTGCATTAATAAACAGGATTCATTTACCAGGAATTGCCCAGCTCCTTGGTTTGTCTGGCTGCCCTCGGAGGGCATTGCAAGGGTAGGTAGCATGCAGCCAGCTCTGGGAGTGAAGGATATGAGACTCCTCTGGGATGCTTGATGAGCGTGGTTAGTGGAGTTCCCATCCTCACAGGAGCAGGGGAGCTCTGCTCTGGGATGTTCTTCATGTGAAAGCAAGGAAATGTTTCCCTGGTGTCCCAAAACAGGCAGGATGGCTCCCTCTGCAGAGCTCCTGCAGCAAGAAGCCCTTTGTGATGTTGCCAGTTGTAGAGTTGTGTCCCATGTCCCAGATGTGTTTGAGGCTGTGTAGTGCTGTGTCTGGCAGCTGGAGCAAACAAGGACACAACTGTCTGCCCCTTGAACCCTCCAGTCTGAAGTTTTGATTGGGAGGCTCAGAATCATTTCCACCTCTCTCATCCACACAGCTGAGGCCATGCCTGACCTTTTCTGCCAACTTACCTGGTCCATGCAGTCACAGAGCACAGGAAACATGAGCACTGCATCACAGCTGGGACCAGGCTTCCCAAATGCGTTGATGTCTAACATTTTAGGAGTGAAGAAAGAAAAAAAACCCTAGACTTCCTTTGTGACAGTTCTGCAGCAGTATTGGATGGAAGCGAGACCAGCATCAAGCAAAGTTGACATCTTAAGTTCTCAATTAGTACAATACATCTGTCATTAGAATCCCTTTTCATTTCTGTGAGAGACAGAGTCACCTTCCAGCGCTTTGTGTCTGASTGCTGCTTTCCTTAAGTTATTAATGCTCTCATTAGCTGAGTAGTGCTGACTGTGGAGCCACTAGATGGCCTGACTAGATRTCTTTATGAATGTTTTAATGCCTGTGGAACATGCAGCTGTTTGTCCAYGAACAGTGCTAGTTTTCTATAACTGGGACACAATCAGCATATTCTATAAATGGACTCTAGGTTGTTCTGCTTGCAGGTTGCAGCTTTGTGTGTCTTAGTTTTCTAATGAGAGGATTAGTTTCTGTTTCTGAAATGCACGGCTTGCTTTGCACTTGGGCTCACCTTGTGAAGAGAGCTCTGGCTTGGCTTGCTGGATTTTTGCTTCAGAGAGAGCTGCAGCAATGAACAGGTTTTTTCACCACTTGGTGATCTTAATTTAGAGAGAAAGGTCAGCTCTTAGCAGCTTGCACCAAAATATTAGGCAATACTTGAGGCAATTCCTGTTTGACAATGCACCACCAGTACACAGAAACCAGAGCTTTCCTGTGAGTGGTTCTGCCAGGTCCATCTCATTATGGTTGATCTGTTTTTTGAAGGTTTGGGATCTGATAAGAGCCTCACAAATTCTGTACACTGCTGACTAGCTCACAGGGCTTTGAGCTATTAATTATTTGCATCAGTTATACTTTTCAGTACCCTACAGGCTTTGTTAACTAATACAAAGACTTAATATAGCCAGCCATCCACTGATTGAGAAATATAAGCTGTATGTCATCATCTGCATCTTAAACTGAGCCTTTGCTGGGCAATCTGGTTAATTATTCCAATTACTTTTGGTTATTTGTAAGCAAAATTGCTAAAGCATGAATACATAAGCGAATCTTCACATCTGCATGCAAGCCAAGACTGGAGATTAAATACTGATGATTACCTAATGCAAAATAAGTTTTCATATTTTTCCTCCCAAAAGTATTGAGACCACCCCTCTCTTCGTGGCTGCATAAGTTTTGTTGTTTTTAAGTATCAGAATCCCAGACCACGGGGTGTGTGTTATGTTGCATAAAAATACTTTGATTTGCTCTYGAAGCTGTTGTTGATCTATACTGGTGCTAATCTCTAAGGCCTACAGACAGTAAATAGGTTTGGGGCTCTCATGTGTGCAAGGTGTCTTTTCTCATACCTAGGAAATTACTTTCTTTTTCAAACCACAATAGAAGAATGTGTGAGCCTTCCTGAAAGGGGAATACAGCATCATTAAAATAAAGATGTGCCTTTTTAAATGTAAATGTACAGCAAATGCTTAAACTTGAACCATTTCCTAGTGCCTTGCTGGACAAGAGAGGAGAGGGGAAGGGGTAAGGATGAAGAGAAGGCTTGACTCGTGCAGTGTTTGTGTGTGGTTTTATTTTTTAAATGTCTGATTTTTCAGTGTAAAATTTGCGTGAACRACAGTAATTCAGAAGCTCTTGGGTTTCCTCTGTTAAATCGATCTTGTTAATGACTCTGGGGAGGTTTGTCACTCCTAATAGGAAGACTTGGAAAGGTTGGCAGCTTCCTCCTGGTGTGCTGTAACAGCTGAAGCTGTGCTGGAGGATGTCTGGGTTTGCTGCTGGATGTTTCACCTCCTGGTGAAGGCTAATAATTTCATTGGTGTGTGGGATCCTTTATTTCATTTTCTAAGTATTCAAATCACAAAACAGTCCCAAAAGCATATAAAATCTGTAGCAAACGTGTCTTTTAGAAGAAATTTACGCCCTCCATCACTRGGAAACTTTTTCAAGAGTGTGTTAAAATTTCTAATACAGAAGTAGCAAGAAAGCAATTTCTCCGCCTAACTTTCCTCCTGGCTGGTTTTACAGCAGTCTGTGCACAGGGCTTTGCTTTTCTCTGTTGGAGTGTTCCAGTCAGCAAACTTTCCTTCTCCCAGCTGCACTGAGATCAGTGAACTGGGAGTCAGGCWGYACCAGCATTGCAGGAGCACAGTGCYCTGGCTCACATCACCCAGGGGAAACATTTCTAATAGTCGTATTTGGCAAGTGTGCAACTGCCAGGTGAAAAAGGAGAAGATTTTATGTTAAATTGTCTTTGAATATACAGACAGGGACGTGAATTGATTGGAGAGAACAGTCAGCCCCTGGCAGTCAGCCTGTCATGCTTGCAGTCCAAAGAGCCTTGGTAAAGCCATGTCAAACAGCCCAAGTGATGCTCGTGTATCTTGCATCCCACATCCACTCCCAGCTGCTGGAATTCATGGATACACTGTGTGATCTCACAGGATACACAGCAAAGGGGAGCTGGCYTGTGACTCAGGAGCRTGGGGTTCTKCTCCCAGGCTRCCATGGCCTGTTACTTGATTTTAAKCAAGGAAAGCCTGTGTGCTGCAATTTCCCAGCTTATGTAGGATTTACCTTTAAGTGCTTCATTTTCTGACCAAATGAGTGTTGAGTCCAGATTTTAAAACAAGCTGCAMATCCTCACCTGGTTTGAGTGGAGAGAGATGCAGTGGGTGGAGAATGGGAAATGAGATCTGAAATTTCCATCAGCATTCAAYGTAGACTTGTCAATTCATTTCATATTCCTCATTAACCAGTCAGATTGATTTATTCACATTATAAATTTCAAGTGTAACCAAAATAAGATCACCTCCTGCWCTGATTGCTACTTTGTAGTGCCATGCTTTAGCTTGGAGAATYTGTATGGAACTAGGCAGTGATAGCTCATGGAAACCCTAATAAAAAGCCYGTGTCTGTTTTTGACACTGCCCCTGCTAGCTGAGTACACTCCTTGACTGACTGCATTTGAGCTTTCTTGATGCTTCTGTATGACCCAAAAGGCTTCAATGATTCCAGMAGTTGAGAGGGATTTGGGAGTTTTATATAAAGCCACTGCATCTATGTGATCTTWAATATACTCGTTCAGCTCAAGGAAAAAAGTCTTAATCCCAGGTAGTAAACAAGCAAATGTGAACTTCAACCACAAAACAAGATAAAAACTGATCAAGCTAATAGCCTGAAACCTTAGCCCTTACGATAACAGCAACAAATAGCTTTAGCCTCCAGGGTGGAGAAGGGAATTGGTTTCAAAATGCATTCTCTAGGATCTCGGTGATTAGGTCTAAGTTTGTCTGTACCTTGTACTGCATGCATTTTCTCTGTAAAACTGGATGGTGCCTCTTGAATCAGTGTGTGTTTATTTTGTGCGTATTAGGACCAACAGCCTAATATCTGGGGGTGGTAAAGGACTTGTAGCACTTTAATGTAGTAGCTTTCATAAATTGGGAATCATTGATAGAATGCCTAGTGTTTTTAAAGTTGAATGGACTTCCTTTTATAATATATTTAAAATAAATTTTTAATGTGTTTTCTGAAAACTGTGTATGCAGATGTGACTGTCCCTGCCTGTTTTGCTCCAGTGATTGATTTCTATTTATGARAATAAGCTCAGCTACCCTGGTGTGGTGTTTCCCCAGCACAGGTTTCCTGTCACTCCATGCCCAAAGGTGCAATCCTGAAGGAACCACGGCTGTAGTGGATGATTTGTGCCCAGGACATCCCTGGGGAATGGCAGCCTGGACTGTCCTTGGTAGGGCACACTGGGAAACACAGAGGAATGGAGAAAACCCAGATGTCATTCTGCTTTCTCTGCCTGTTTGCCTTGGGAGATCCATCCCATACCTTGGTTTGCAGGGGAGGGTTTTAACAGCTCATGGCCTTGTTTGTGTTCTGTTCTCCGTGTTGGGAGAGTGGGCTCAGCCCAAGATAACAGAGGAGTATCAGCATTGCTCATGTTCCCACTAGGACCCTCAGTGCTTCTTGCTGTCACCACTTCATTTCTTCAGTGGCCTGCTCAACAGTCCTTTTTA